TGGCAAAAAAGGCAAAGATCTACTAACATTTGTCTTTAAATAAATGTTATTGTGTAGAACTAATCTGCTCTGTAAGTAAATCTACATAACTAGATTCAGTCATGTGTAATATGTGACCCTGGACCACAAAACCAGTCTTAAGTTGCTGGGGTATATGTGTAGCAATAGCCAAAAACACATTGTATGGGTCAAAATTATTGATTTTTCTTTTATGCCAAAAATCATTAGAACATTAAGTAAAGATCATGTTCCATGAAGATATTTTGTAAATTTCCTACTGTAAATATATCAAAACTTAATTTTTGATTAGTAATATGCATTGCTAAGAACTTCATTTGGACAGCTTTAAAGGCGATTTTCTCAATATTTTTATTTTTTCTGCACCCTCAGATTCCAGATTTTCAAATAGTTGTATCTTGGCCAAATATTGTCCTATCCTAACAAACCATACATCAATGGAAAGCTTATATTCAGCTTTCAGATGATGTATAAATCTCAATTTTGAAAAATTGACCCTTATGACTGGTTTTGTTGTCCAGGGTCACATATATATATGGAAGTTACTGTGTTTGCTGAAATAAACTTGTAAAGACTGATCTGAGGCAGATATAAGCAAGTTGAGGTTATTGGCTTGCAGAGTATGTTTTTGCCAGTAATGTTATGCTAAAAATGTGAGCCAGTAATGACCCATTTGTAAACATCATGACACCTAATGCCAGTGTTGGATTTTTTACCGGTGTGTCGAGATTAAAAACTATCATTCTCCTGTCTCGTGGGTCAGTCTGGTAGTCATCAGCTCTTGATTGCTGATCATATTATTTATTATATATAATAAATAATTACTATATTATTTACCATATTATTTACCCAGAAGACTTGATGTGAGCCAGCAGGACTTGCTTTAAATATTGTGTCAGCATGAGGTGGGGGGGTATTTTATACCCTTGTAATTTACAGTGCCTATGCACCTCCAAAAGACATTGTGGCTCATTGTGGCTGTGGACTTAAATTACAGGGATCACCACCACTCTGTCAGCTCTCACTTTCAAAGCAAGCTGTGGGTAGAACATTATTAAGTCCTCCAGAGCCTGTGAGACTCATGCTGATATGCTTTTTTCAAAATGTAATGCTTGTCAGAAGATCCCTTTTGATTCATCTGTGACAGCTACAGTTTCTCAACTGTAAAATCGAGAGCTTCTTCACTGTTTCTGGTGGCTCAAACTGTCCTTTTCTTGAGGCTTTTAATGTATTCACTGTTCCAGTGCCTATATCACTTTTTAATGACTGGAAAATTTATCCAAGTTGTCAGCAGGCGTTAGATTTTAGGATCTCTTGGCTTGGTTCTGAATCTCCACCAGACCAGATGGCGGTGCTATGTGGGCCGTATGTGGACCATGGGTGTGGAGATAGTGGGGGCCAGCTCTAGAGTGCAGGATTGCTCACATTCTGGCATTTTCCCTAGGCCTGTTTGCAGCTGCACTTCCTGTCCCAGTTTGATCTTCTAAAATGTTCAATATGTGGAAAGGGTTTTGAAGACAGACCTTATTTTGTGTAATGTCACAGTAGTTTTTATAAATAAGGCATAGATAAAAGAAAGGTTGCAATGAAATAAAAACACTTTTATATATATTGTGCTTAAACATATTTTGCACTTTTGCAAATAAAACATGCTCTTATAATGTATACAGAAATTGTTTATACAATTAGAAGTCCAAAATTATGATATAAAAAACAATTAAATTCAAATTTATTTATATAACATTTATATGCAATTTGAACACAAACATATATGTATGTATGCATGTATGTATATAATATATACACACACACACACACACATATATATATATATATATACACTACCAGTCAAATTTCAGAATACAATTTTTTTTTCCTGAAAGAAGGCTCTTATGCTCACCAAGACTGCATTTATTTGATCAAAACATAGTAGAACAGTAAAATTGTGAAATATTATTATAATTTAAATATTATTATGATAATTATAATTATATTATTATATTTTGCTGTTTAACAGTTTTAAAAAAAATGCTTACACACAGTTTTCTAAACATTGGCTCCATTTCTAAAAACTCTACACACAAAACCACAAAACACACACACAACATGCAAAATGTCACACATATCTTGCAAAAGCAAACATCATTTCTTCTAAAATTTTTATTTTTGCATAGTAACTGTACACACAAACAAAATAATTAGCTACATACACACCAAACTACACACAGATTTGAAAAATGTAAAACACAAGTCTCATGTGTCTTTTGCGTGTTCAGTGTGCAGTGGACAGAAATTTTGTCATAACACTCGCACATACATGCATATGCACATATACACTGTATATACAGTATATATACTGTATGTACAACTGATGAATTTTACACAGTTGTGCAACTGAGCTGACTTGAGCTGTATAATGACACTATTCATTGTTATAGCTGTTTTACAGCAGAATTTGAATTTGATACTTTTGTGAAACTGCTGTAAAACAATCTATATTTTATAAAGCGTTTTATAAATAAAGTTGACTAGTTCTGACTTGGCTTGTATGCATATTGACACACACACACACACACTGAATATGCATACAAGCCAAGTCAGAAAGTCAGATTTATTTATAAAACGCTTTGTACAATATATATATATATATATACAATGTAAACAGAAATGCAAGGGGGTAAAAATGATTTCTTTCTTAAAACACAGAGTTTTGATTTCAAAGTGAACAAATTATGTATAAGTGTTTTCACACATGATCACTGGGTGTAGGTCATCATTAAATGATCATGGCATTTAAATTTTACAATAGCAAACTGAGTTTAAAGCATGTAATGTGCTTGTAGATTTGCAGACTTGGTCTAAAGATTAGGTATATGAGTGAAGAGTTTCACTGAGTGGGACTCAAGTACCACTTTTAGTGTCTAAGCAATTTTTAAAAACTAATATATTTTAAAATGTAATTAATCATTCTAATATGCTGATTTGGTGCTCAAGAAACATTTCTTATCAATGTTGCAAACAGTTGTGCTGCTTAATATTTTGTGGATATATATTTTAAAAAATTTCAGGTTTCTTAGAAAACAGAGTTCAAAGGAACAGCATTTATTTAACATAGAAAACTTTTGTAACATTATAAATGTTTTTACTGTCAATTTTGACCAATTTAATGGATCCTTGCTGAATAAAAGTATTAATTTCATATTCTATATGGACAAATAATGTAAAGACCATATATAATCCATATCCAAAGACCAATACTGTACATAGTATTATACAGTACATCTATTGGGGAAATGAAATTCTCTTCCTTGCATGGGATGAGATGGTCCTGAGAAGGACATGGGCTACATTCCAAGTTTTACCGTTCCCAATTCCTGGATCTCACTCCTTTAAAGAACAGAAAGTGCAAGACGGCTCCTCTGGGAGTTCTAGGGTTGGGGGAATCAAGCTGTTCCAGAGAGTGGCTAGCAGAAGATAAGATGCAAAAACACTTGCAGAGTCCTCCTTTGGACAGGTGCCCAAGCACACGGCTAATCAGAGCAGCAGACATCTTTCTGTGAAGTCTGGTGGCCATCAAAATGGTGCGGCTCGGAGAGTGCTCCAAAGAGCAGAGATGGAGGGGTAATGTTAGCCCCCCAACAGGCTGTCTCTGTTTGACTGATCTGTATAGGTGTAGCATATGTGTGGGTTCACGGAGGTGAAGCTCTTGATGAACTGAGCCTGGTGTGATCTCTTAAAGATGGCATGAAACCATGAGAAATCTCTGATCAGTCCAATCGAGTGTCTTTCCAGTTTTTAATAAACTCTGTGTGGTGTAATTATTCCTGCTTTTATGTATTCAGCAACTTTCAACTGATGTCGTTTGATATTTGTGCCTTCATGGGATCATAATTGAGCTGTTATTCGTGCTGCATATTGACCAATTTAGTGCAAAGAATGCACCCTAAAACTTGCAGTCAGGCTCGTTTTATAAACGTGAACCCAAAATCACAGTGATTTGTGTGAAATACAATTTTATTTATACAATATAAAAATTTCAGACACAAGGGGAATGTAACATTTTGATTCCATCGCCTCTTGACAACTGCATTTTGCAAGTCTCGAGTGGGAAGAACAAGTAAAAATGTCTCTTCAGCGTACTCTCTCTGTACCCACAACACCCTATCCAATGTATCTAGCCCATGGTCCTTCTATTCTCGTAGCACAGGTGGGCTCTGTCTTTCTCAGTGTGACATTGCATAGATAGTGTCCAATGCCAAGTGCTCTTTCCCGGGAGCGATAGAGTTAAAATGGGTCTGACCGTGGGTTTGGGAATGACCGTATTGCTTAAAAATGATTTTGAATCACTGAACAGAAATACTCAAAACATATACTTTTGGAAAGTAATAATAACAAGAATAATAAGAATAAGAATACACTTATTATTTGTGAGGGAAATTTGATCAGTAATTTTATTAAAATTATTTTAATATTTTCATTTCCAAGGACATTTTACCACCATGATATGATGTGTTGTTATTTATATAAATTAATATTATGTACACATTCATTTTAGTTTTATTATTATTATGTATTGTAATACTTTAAAGGAAATTAAATATTTGTGGACAAGTAACGTAAGAGCCATTTTGAGAAAAAGTCATGATGATTGATGTCTGGACTATTGATGTCATACAGGACTATTATACATTTTTGGGGGGATAAAGGTTAAAGGTTCCACCTTTAAATATGTATTTTTATTTTTAGATATTTATTTTTAAGGGACATCTTTGCCATCCTTATGTGTTTAAAAAGGCACAACATGCATGTGTTAATAATGATAATAATAATAATAATAATTTTTATTGTTGTTGTTGTTGTTTCTAATAATTTGATGAATGTAATATTAATTATAATACTAAAACATGAATTACTAAGAATGGATGAACGAACCAATCACTTAATTAATCAAATCTTTCCCTTTCCTTTTCTTGTTCTTCTAGGGGCGCTGTATAAATTTCAATCGGGTGCAGCATCAACAGACGACAGCATCCCATCTCTGAAATACTTTGACTTCCAAGTAAATCAGATGGAACAACAGAAAAAAGCGCAATTTCCTTGAGATGACATAGCTTATCATTGGCCACTTTAGAGTATCTTGTTTCAGCTCTTACAAGTATTGGCTTTCCAAAACGTATAATTTTGATATCTCTCAAGCTACTGAATGGCAACCGGACGACTAAATAGATTAACAAAAAAAACTGTCTGATTTTGCAGCTGATCTGGTTAGCTTTAATGCACAGTAAAGGCTTTTTCGTGTTCTGACCATATTGGGCCTTCTGCGAAAAAAAAACAAAAAACCGAATCTTATGGACACAGACGGAGGCTATTTAAAAAAAAATAAAAATCAGAATGAGATGAGGCTCTTTGCCGTTGGCTGAGAAGTAGAACTAATCCCAGTAGGCTCATGGAGTGCAGAAGTACTTTGCCTCTTGGCAATGTCTCTTCACAAAAATCTCTCCAAGCCCACTATCATCGGATGCCTAGCGGGGCTCCTTTGACTGGAGATCTTGTCATTTTAACACTGAGAAGTGCACACGCATGACAAATTGTAGACAGAACGCCCTAAGGTATTAGACGCAGTAAAACTTTGCCCTTTAGTTTGCGAAGACACCTTTCTATCAATGCGAGGACAGCGCAGAGAAATTAATAGAGCGTTATTGCACCGCGAGACACCCTGTGTCCAAAGCTCTCCGGCAAGGTTTTGAGGGACAGATTTACTTCTGGTGACTGGTGCTTTCTCCCCATTTATTTGGCAGTCTGTTCTGTGCTCACTAATGCATAGACCTTCACAATTCGGAAACATGCCCCTCAGATAAAGGTTTTCATACATCAGGACAGCTGTCCACCTACTGGATGTCCAAAAATTTCTTGGCATAGGAATATCAAACTTTAATTGATCTTAAGGCAACTTTAGAGATTTATCTTTGGTATGAGGTTTGACCTCTCTAGACATTTTCTGTAGAAATTAAGAAGTTCCTCAGCTGTGCTAATGTGACGCCCTCATCCGATATACTAGGATGATCAAACCGAAAGAGGCGATGGACGGATGAGTATTGTTCATATTGTTCCAGAAATTATCCCCGTCGCACTCCCCCCTCCACTTGCACACAGAAAAGCGAGCAATATATATTTATTTTAGATTTCTTTAACACGCTGTCATGATGACGATCGAGAATGATATCAGTGTCAGTGGAAACACTGTGGGGGAGGAAGGGGGCGGCAGCTGAAGAAAAAGGCTCGAACGATCCAGTCACTTTCGACACGCTACTTCAGATGCAAAATGGATATTCGAGTCGAAATCTGACAAAGTGTGCCGGCTTTGACGGGAAGTGGTATAGACCAGTGTTTCCCAACCTTTTTTTAGTCGCGGCACCCTTTGGAAATTTTAACAAACGTGTGGCACCCTACAAAATTAATTTTGTCACAATATTTGAATTTTTAACTTCGATATGATAATTTGAATGTTACAACACAGTAGGGCTATTGCAGACAGAAACAATACTGTACTACATCGATGTTTCCTGTCGGCTCAATTTTTGGACTTTGCTGTTCCGATGAGCATGAACGGTATATGAGTGGAGCGACTGAGCGGAGCGCACACACATAGAGCGGGATAATACGCAGAGCGTCACACCATGCACGTGAAAGTGAATCCTGAGCGGTGAACTCATTTTCGGCAGCCGAAATTTCGGTGCATCTCTAATTATTGACGACATCAGAAATGGATATTATATAATAGATGCTTTTTTGAACATTTTAGCAATTTAAAAATATTAAAAAAGGATTTTTTACACGGTACCCCTGCTCTCCACAAACGGCACCCCGGTTGGGAAACACTGGTATAGACAATGACCAGTGGCTGGGTCAGTGGGATGTCTCAGTGCAAGCAGGGAAGCTTATCAAATTACACTAAAAATAAGTTCAACAACCATCAAGTTTGAGGGGGGAACAGAATGGGGCACAGTGGCTCACATTCGGTGGGCATGCAAGTGTGCAAGATGGCAGGACCGTTGGGGGGAAAAAGCCCTCGTTTAATTATTTCTTTGTTTCTATCGTAATTGTAGGGACATTAATTATTACTCCCCTCCAGCCCCTCCCAAAAAATAAAAATAAAAAAGAACAGAATACATACATGGAAATGTTGAAACATTTAAAATCGTTCCCAGAGTGGCACTTACAAGTTAAGCGAATGCACTTCTTGGATAGCTAGGTGAGTGTAATTTTCAGTCCTGTTTTTATGAAGATTTTTTTATGTCAGATCACAGGATGTCAATTAAGTGTTAGCAAAAATGTAATTAGGTTTTTACATGTTAGTTGCAATATGGCTTAATATCTTTACCAGCTCCTTACATGCTATGTATCCACTTCAACATCACCAGAGCACATCTGGGGCCTATTCTTCGTACGTCGCTAACTCAGTTAGCTGGATTTGATTGCTGATGATTTGGCATGATCTTGGATTGTTTGGTTCTTGGAAGCTCATCCCGGAGTTGCTGTCATAGCAACAGGTCCGTAAGCTTAAACCTGCT